CGTGGCCCCCATGGCCGCCTGTTGGGCGCAAATGCCCGTGGTCAGTCGCACGCCTCCTTGGAAGAGACGGTGCGGCGATCTCGGAGAATCTCTCCGGCCTCGCCTCCACGGTGTCGACGATGTTGCCGATGGTGGTGTCCTCCTAAGAGTAAACGCAGGAACCAACAAATAAGAACAGTGGCAAGCCCGGGGTCCTGACGACCTCGTGAGTCGAAGCGCTTCGACACCAGGGCGTGCACTCGATGCGATGCAGCCGAATGTGTCTTCTCGAGTGCCAGTTGGAATAGCGGGATGTATATGTAGCATCTTGGGCGCCCTCCTTCACCTCGCTGACAGGCAGTTGGGCCTCGTAGTGGAGTGTGCTGGTCAAGGGCGGGAAGGGCGGTGTGCTCGGCGGTGGGGAGGGCGGCGGCGACGGAGGGGGAGGTGAAGGAGGAGGTGGCCACGGAGAAGGCGGCGGCGGCAGCGGCGGCGGCGCCGATGGTGGTGGTGGTAACGGCGGTGGCGATGAGGGAGGCGGTGGAGGAGCCTGTGGCTCTTCGGTGGGCACGGCTGGCGGGAAGGAAGGCGGTGGTGGAGAGGGCGGTGACGAGGGCGGCGGAGAGGGCGGCGGCGAAGGCGTGGGAGGGGGTGAGGGCGACAGCGACGGCGGCGGCGGCGAGGGCGGCGGAGGGGCCGGCGGCGGCGGTGCCGGAGGCGGCGGCGTGGGAGGCGGTGAGGGCGACAGCGAGGGCGGCGGCGGCGAGGGCGGCGGAGGGGCCGGCGGCGGCGGTGCCGGAGGCGGCGGCGTGGGAGGCGGTGAGGGCGACAGCGACGGCGGCGGCGGAGTAGGGGGCGGCGGCGACTGGGAGGCGGAGGGCGGCGGCGGCGTGGGCGGCGGAGGCGACGGCGGCGGCGACGGCGGCGGCGGTGGCGGCGACGGTGGAGGCGACGGCGGAGGAGACGGCGGCGGAGGAGACGGCGGAGGCGACGGCGGCGGCGACGGCGGCGGAGGCGACGGCGGCGGAGGGAAGGGTGGCGGCGACGAGGGAAGAACAGGGGAAACGCTGGGGGCGGAGGTCGGAGCTGACGAGGGCGACGAGGAGGGAGGAACGGAGTACGTCGGCGAGGCGGTGGGCGAGGCTGTCGACGAGGGCGTGGAGCTCGGCGCGGAGGAAGGGGCGGTGGTTGTGGTCGGCGCCGATGTTGGTGAAGCAGAGGGCGAGGTGGAGGGCGGCGGCGGGGAGGGCGAGGCCGACGTGGGCGGCGGGGAGGGCGAGGCCGACGGGGGCGGCGGTGAGGGAGGCGGCAAGAGACAGTGTCGCTGGATCTTGG